GCATAACAGCAGCATCACCAGAGTCAGCATGTCAGAGGAGAATATTGACTGAAGGGTAATCGGAGTAGCCACATTTGAACTGTGGACTATTCAGAGGACTATCTGGCCATTGATCCAGATGAATTTGCCTGGTGCTGAGCTTTGTGCTGCATCGAGCAATCTCAACACACATTGGAATCCCTTCCATTCCATCCAAAGGTCTCCCTTGTGATCATGTTCATGTTGGAAGGATGAACAAGGATCAGGAAGTGTCCACACTTTCATATCATATCAATGGGAAAGATAACTGGTTGTCAGTGGACAATCCCTGCCAATTATCTACCATCAGTTGTTCCTTTGTTGTATATGTCTATCCTGCCAGATGTTGGGTAAGAGACCGATGGTGCAGTATTCAAGCAAAGAGACCGATATAGGAATCAGGAACTATCTGGTGCAAAAGTTGCTTCTGCAATGAACTTAGTTTGGTTTATATATGTCACACCTCTCAATTTTAGCCTCTGTCATTCCTACCACCCACAGCAGAAGGAATAAAAATATTGGTTTATCATAATGAAATTATTCTCCTTGTGAAAGAACCAGACAAATATTAAGGAGGAAGAGGAAGATTTCTGGTTGCACTAATCTGAATCTAAAACATGGATCTTTCAGTCACAAATTGAGGCTCTCACCCAGTTTTTCAGCATATAAAACAAGTTCATATCCAGCCCTTTCCCTTGAATTATTTTCCTGCCTCCTCCAGGGGGTTTCAGTTGGAACAGAAGTGTGGAATCATTGCTGCTTCACATGATTCATCCACATAACTAACTGTGGGGACTGGATCAAAGGATGCTATAAAACAGCGTGAGCATGAGCATCAGAGGATCCATAGTTGAGCAGGGCACATGCTCTCTCTTTGAAGCAGCTTCTTTGGCAGGAGCTCTGTGAGAAGACCATCCCTTCTTCCTCATCTGCGCCCAAGTATTCCACATGAATGGCTGTCTCTAGTAGGTTGGGAGCTGCGGCTCATAAGGGGTTGTGCTGAGGCAAATCTGTGACAAAAGTACTTTGGATTCATTAGTCTTGTGTGACTCCTGGGAAAACACAAGTGTGACTTTATTACTGTTTCTAAGAAACAAGGATTTAAGTTCAACTTTCAGACAAGTTCCAACTGGAAAATCCACCCTGCCTACAGACACCATTCCCTCTTTCTCTCTCACCCATTCTTCTTCTTCTTCTTCTTCTTCTTCTTCTTCTTCTCCTCCTCCTCCTCCTCCTCCTCCTCCTCCTCCTCCTCCTCCTTCTTCTTCTTCTTCTTCTTCTTCTTCTCTTCTTCCTCCTCCTCCTCCCTCCTCCTCCTCCTCTCTCCTCCTCCTCCTCCTCCTCCTCCTCCTCCTCCTCCTCCTCCTCCTTACCATCTCTTATAGCACATAAAAGAGACCAGCTTCATCTCCCTTGTGCATTGTCGAATGGCCTATGCTAAAGACCCTCAACCACTTCCAGAGAGAGAGAAAAAATCTTGGAAAATATGATCCTTGTAATCAGGTTGGACATTTTAATGAAAGGCTTAGGGATATTTATAGAGGGAGAAGCTCGGCTAGTCAAAGATTTATCACTTAGAGTTAGTTATACCCTGCCTTTTGACTGAAGACTCTCAGATTGTGGTTGTTTTATTTCGGTATGAGGTTTTGCATTATATTGTATTTTTTCTGTAGGGGCTGCTGAGAGAGGAAGGAAGGAAGGAAGGAAGGAAGGAAGGAAGGAAGGAAGGAAGGAAGGAAGGAAGGAAGGAAGGAAGGAAGGCAAAGATGAGACTAAATCATATGATGGAGCTATGTAGGTATGTCTAACCTACCGAAGAGAAGAATGACGTGATAACTGTCTTCCAGGTGAGGGGCTGTCACAGAGAAGAGAGAGTCAATTTGTTTTGCAAAGCACCAGAGGGAGGAAAGAAATAATGGGTGAAAGCTTTTTAAGGAGACATCCAATCTAAAATTAAGGAGAAATTTCCAGACAGTGAGAACAATTAACCATTGGAATAGCTTGCCTCCTGGGGTTGTGGTCAGTGGTGGGTTCCTCCCGGTTCGGCCCGATTCTCCCGAGCTGGTAGCGGTGACGATATGACATCACCGAACAGATTCTGCCCCCCCACCCCCCGCATTATTCTTACCTTTTATTTGGCCCCACCCCCAATCTATTGCTGCCTCTTGAGTCCCAGCTGATGGCTAGAGGGAAAAAAAACTGTTTAAACTCTTGCCATGGGGCTTCAAAAGGCCGTCCTACAGCTGATCAGTGTTAAAAGAAAACAAATGAGTGGACCAGTGCCTGCAAAAATAAATGGGTAGACCAGTGCCTGCAAAAATACATGAGTAGATTGGTACATCTCTGCAAGCAGTTAAAAGCCTGGTAGACCAGTACCTCTGCTAAATCCTAAAGAATTGTCACATGACCATCAAGCCACACCCACAAAATAAGCCACGCCCACAGAACCGGTAGTAAAAAAAATTAGAACCCACCCCTGGTTGTGGTGCTCCATCATTGGAGTTTTTCAGAAATAGACTGGACAACCATTTTACTGGGATGGTATAAAGTCTCTTGTCTTGAGCAGAGAGTTGGACTAGAAGACCTCCAAGGTCCCTTCCAGCACTTTGATTATATGTTTTGTGTAAAAAAAATGGTTATCATGTGGCACAACACCCATTATTCACAACCACTGCCCACCATTGCCCATCAATTACCAGGGCAACTCAGAGCAGAACTCAGAGCTGAAATGGAAGAGCCCGGTTCCCCTCTTGCTTGGATTTTCTCCCTGGAAAGCAGGGGTGAAAGAAGCAAAATGGGAGTGAAGCTTCGTTCTCTGAGCTTGTGGGTGAATTTCCGAGAGTTTCATTACCAGGCTAGGTAACATCTTCAGCAGAGTTTAGGGCAGTGATAGCGAACCTTTTAGGCACTGTGCCCAAGTGTGCGTGTGCGCCCAAACTGCAAGGTCTGGATGGATGTGCGCACATCCTGCTTATGCGTACACACCCCGTGCATGCGCCCACACCCCGCCCAAACTGCAAGGTGTGGGCACATGCATGCTTGCACCCTGCACATGTGCATGCCTTGCACATGGCACACCCTGTGTATATGCGCGCATCTGTGCATGCACCCGTGGCCCGCCCAAACTTCAAGGCATGGGTACATGCATGGGTGTGTGCACCCCACACATGCATGTTTGTGCCTCATGCATGCGCGGCAGAGACCCGAAGACCAGCTGGCCAGTGGGAGGTGCACGTGCATGTGCAGCAGAGACCCGAAACAGAGCTGGGGCAACAGCGCGCATGCCCACAGAGAGGGCTCTGAGTGCTACCTGTGGCATGCATGCCATAGGTTCAACATCACTGGTTTAGGAGATGAAAGAATCGAAATGCTAAAGCGCTTTGGCCAACTCAAGTAGTTGAAGCACTGAGTGGAATATTGTTGAGGGAAAGAGGTTTTGGGGTTCGAATGGACCGTGGCCCGATACGTATACAAACGCACTGGCATGGAAGTTGACTGAGGAGTCTTGAGAAAGTACTTTAATAAAAACACATAAAAACAAAACCTACAAGAAGGCATCAACAGCCCAAAAGATTCTCCTCTCAGCAAAGTCCATTTAGCTCTTATCTTCTTCCCAAGCATGGGAGACGTTCAGCGCTCTTTGTCAGCCTTCTCAGGAGCAAGGCAGTGACTCAGCTCTTTGTAGTGACTTCAGCTCTGGAGGTAGCTCTGCATCTCAAGCTCTGCTCAGGATCTGCGAGGGTCTCTAGTGGCTGTAATCCTGCTGCTACTTATATACTGGCCAACTGACCGTTGGAAAGTGCAGGAAACTCAGAGCCAGGACGCTGTGCTCTGATTGGCTCGTTCAAAATGTTCAAACCAACCAATCAATTAATTGCAGCAACATGCTGAGAGGTTTTTTTCCTCTCACAAATATGATCTGGAGCCAAATGAAGGAAAACGTGGCCTGATGGCCAGTGGTGGGACTCAGCCGGTTCGCACTGGTTCAGGGTGGCCGTCGTGGGTGGCTCATCCCGCATGTGCAGCAGAGATGGAGGATGGGGATGGGCCATGCCTTCCATGACAGCCAACCTGACCCTGGGCGAACCGGTTGTTAAATTACTTGAATCCCACCACTGCTGATGACCAAGTCTGGGCACGAGTTGGAGGACTGGCAGACCTGCTCATCACTGGGACCCCTGCCGCACGAGCTGCTTCCCAATACTATTTGGGGCTCAAGGTGCAGATGGCGGGCAGAGGGCCAGAGACAAAAGAGGGCAACTCTCCGCCAAGCTCCCCACGGTGTTTCTGCGCTCAGAAACTGAGAGCAGAGAAGAGGAGGCCTGTGGAGCATTTGGAGAAACCCAGCAGCCTCTTGTGCACAGGAACTGGGAGGGGAGGGGCAGTGCTCAGCTCTGGATCCTGGGCTTCTGGACTTCCCCAGTTCTTAAATGGACTTGAAGGAGAAAGAACATGTGCTTTATCTTGGCACTTAGCAGAAGAGGTTTGGTTTTATGTGCCAAATCCATATTTCTCCTTAAGATAGGCTACGGGGGTGGGGGGTAGGAAGAAAAGAAGTCAAATAGCTGGCCAAAAAGATGGCAGACAAATTTGCTCAAAAGCCCTAAGTAATGGGCTTCCTTTGACTCAAGTGATCAATGGAGCTTCTCCGCAGGCTCTCAAATTAACACAACCTCCATCCTCCTCTCTCTGGGTCCATGTGGGACCCTCAGGATTGAACCTTCAGTGGCTCCCTACATGTCTCCCGATGTGTCCCAGCTGTTTGACTCAGCTTGGTTGAGTTTTCTTGTGCTGAGATGCTCAGTGCATTCTGTTTCTTGCAAATACCTCTATATTTACATCTGTGGAATTTCAACCAAGAAATTACTGAAAAAGGAATTAAAACAATAATACAGAATGAACAAGATAACAGGGAAACATTGTAGTTCAGAACTATAAAGGAACACAAATGGGCCTTTAAAATAGTAATAATAAAAACCTACTGGAGAGCCATTAGAGTTGGTGTTAGTGAGACGCCATGTCAACAGCGGAATGCTTACGGCATCGCCTGTCCTCCGCACACTCAGCAGAGGGAAGGCAGATGTGGCTTAGGCAGACCATCCACGAAAGCACAATTATGTTGGCTCAGGTCAGGCAGAGACCACGGGAGCTGAGCCAAATTGCTGGTTTAGGAAGTGGGCCCTCTCATTGCCATCAGCACAGCAGACTGTCTGGGCAGGAAAAGGAAAGAGGCAGCTGCCAAGGAAGCAAGGGCACCCGAGAAGTGGGGTAGTACTGGCAGTGATTTGACACCTTCGGCTCTCCCTGTCTCCCGTTCTTTCAGCCCACTTGAAATGAGTGATACCATCTTTATTCGCCTGAAATAAATAAGTAACCACCATGAGTTCCTCACCCCCAATGTTCTTCTTATCTGTTATCTGAGATAATAAAAAGCCATCCCTAAAATATTTATTTATTTATTCAAATCCTGCAATCGTCCTTCTCAAACAATGTCTCAATTGACTATCTAATTAACTTGAAAGGAAATAACTGTTATTTGAGAAAATGCATGGTTTATTTCCAAGATTGATCGATCGATTGCTGGGTTTGTCAACCTCAGGCCAAGACAATGCTGGCTGTTTATTGAGTGGCAGAGAGAGCAATTCCTGTGATGGAGATTCCTGAAGTTAGACTTGGACAAGAGAGAGGCACCAGGACGGTCAATGCCTAGATTTATGCCGGCATCTTCAGATATTTCAATCACACTCAGATGAAAAAGCCGCCTGGGTTGGGTGATGATCGAAAGCAGCGCAGGAGGTGGGCGCTGAGGGGAGAGTTGCAATTGCTGGAATGGCAAGAACCGTCCAGATTCCTGCCCTACAAATTCTCCCCAGATGACAGGGCCAAACCTCTGTCTCTGTCTCCCCTCTGTTCCTGTTTCCAGCTGCTGCAGGATAAATCAGCCGCAATGGTAGCTCTGTCTGAGGAGGAAAGACGGTGCGTTTCCCTAAGTGCATTTTTCTTATATTCTTCATAAAGGTCACTCTCTGTTTACTGGCAAAAGAGATCAATATGGATTCATTATTTATAAAGGAGTTCACTAATCTGTAATGATTGGGAATCACAGGGCCAGGATGTTTCCCTTACACCACACTGTCTTGGAAAACAGAGGCGAGAGGAGAGGGCACAAAACCAACTCCACACAACTCAAGGTTTCTTACTAGTCCTTGGCGGTTTTCCCTTCTTTTCAGAACCTGCAGGCGGCTGCATCATCGTTCAGACTCAGATCTACTTAGCAACCCAGTGGTAAAGAAAATAGGACCTTCCTGATGGGGAGAGCAATTGATCAATGGAACGGTTTGCCTCCGGAGTTGGGGATGCTCCATCACTGGAGATTTTCAAGGAAAGATCAGACAACGGTTTGTCTAGGATGGAATCGGCACTTGTGCCTTGGCAGCGGGTTAGACTAGAAGACCTCCAAGGTCCCTTCCAGCCTTGTGATTTCTTGATTCTTGCTTATGAATCAGAAATGTTTGTCACCTGCTCTGAATTGTAAGTGAGTAGCATGTAGGTCACCTACACTAATAGCATTAAGAATTTCCAAGGAAACTGAAGAGCGGCAGTTCCTCATTCTTCATCCCAGTAGGGATAAAAGGAGGGTTAAATTGAAATGCTAACAGCTGCCAGGAAGACCCCCCCTCCTGCTGGAAGACAAGAGCCCCAGCTTCCCCACCCTGGAGAAACCCCACCCTGGGTGCTTCGGAGAAGAGTTCTAAACTGCTCTTGCTTAGCATTGTAGTTGTTGCCAATTTAACACTCACTGCTGTTCCTTGGGATGGAGAGGCAACTGTTTGCTTAAACATTTCCATGCCTCTTATATTTATGAGACATTACTGGAACATCATCTTTACCAAATGCACTTAGTGCATTCATTTGTCTGAAAGCAGAGAAGGCTTGCCTCTTCATTTTGACTGTATTCTAGATCATGTGGTTCTGGCAAGTCATGTGGAAGGAAGGAAGGAAGGAAGGGAGGGAGGGAGGGAGGGAGGGAGGAAGAAGAGGGAGGGTGGGTGGGTTGCTTAAAAAATCCAGTGCATTCTTAAGTTTGTACTTTTACGATTCTTTCATGGAATATGACACCAAGCAACAAAGACTGTATACCAATAAAATAAAGTAAAATAAAAAGTGGACAGGTCGGCACCCTCAGTGGATGCTGCAGCAATTACCTGCTGAGCCATCCAGGAGAGGTTAATGTCTAGACAGGAGAGGACAAAGCATTGACTTCATAAAGTGAGCAGGTGGAGACAATTGGGTATTTGCAATCTACATAATAGCTGCATTGCACCTCAAGAGGCACTGGCTTATTTTGGCATTCTTCCAAGCATACATGGATAAGCATTACCTTTGGATCTTTTCTGAAATTCTTCCTGATCGATTCCATCAAGCCCCTTTGCCCAATAACCTTACCGTGTGTCCTTCTCTGCATCTGAGGCCATATCCAACAGGTATGATTGAACTGATTCCCAGGAATCAAATCATGCCCTGGGTAAGTGCTTTCCCCTGGCCTAGGATTCATCTCCCGAGGTTTATTGCAAATGAAGCGGTCCCTCTTTTGAGTTGACAGGTCACTGTGAAAATGAGATCGTTCCACTCCTTGACTCAGAACACAACAGAATAACAGAATTGGAAGGGACCTTGTAGGTCATCTAGTCCAACCCCCCCTCAAAAGCAGGAGATCCTACACCATTTCTGACAGATGGCAGTCCTGTCACTTCTTGAAAGCTTCCAGTGATGAAGCTGCCACAACTTCTGAAGGCGACTCCTGTTCCATTGGTTGATTGTTCTCAATTTTTGATTGACCTGTTTCATTTCTCGTGGTTGCAATGTTCCTTGGGGAGGAGGAGGATTTGAATACTAAGGTAAGGATAGGTGGCTTAAGGTATCACCAGCAGGAAAAGAAGCCAAACTTCCTCCTCTGTTTCCCCCCCCCCCACAAGACAGAAAGATTTGTGGCACAAAATGAAATGAGCAGGACAAGACCCAATAATTCAGTTTTTTACTGTTTTATATTGGTTTCATCTATTTTTTATGATTTTTAATATGTTGTTTTCTTAGTCATCCAGAGTTATTTGTTTAAGCTGGACAGTCATATATATTTTTTTTAAATAATGCAAATGAGGCTTAATTAGAGGAGGTTTTTGTGATCATCTCCTAGTCAAAAAGAACAAGTTAGGAAAGGCTGGTGGGTCTCGTTCTACAGACCGGCCATCTCTTCAGAGGAAGCAATGAAGCAATGGAGACAGTTTTGCTTTTAACGGAGCTGATGATCATGGTAGGAAGTGATGCTGGTGAAGGAATCAGCTCTCCAAACTTCTCTCTGGAGGAAAGAGAAGACTTGGGATTGCCCAGGGTGTTCCTCACAGATGTTCCCCTCAAGGAGACTGTATAATGGCGATGGTTCCTCAATATTTGATGTGGACATCAGATACTAAGAAACCGTTGCCATTTTACAGCTGCTGCCACACACGGCTGGCTCCTGTCTAAGTGATCGTCCACTAGGGTGCCAAGGTCCGTCTCACAGAAACTGATTCTGAGCCAGCTTTCCCCTAATCTGTACTTGTACCTTTGGCTTTTCCTGCCTAAGTGTAAAAGTTTGCTTTTCTCCACATTAAATGTCATGTTGTTGGCTGGGGCCCATTGTTCAAGTCTGATCTTTTTGGATCCTGAGCTTGTCTTCTGGAGTGTTGGCTCTTCTTGCCAGCTTAGTCTCACCTGCAAATTTGATTCTATTAATCTAATTTTATATTATAAATATAAAAAAAAATGTTATAAATATTAATTTGAAAAGAATTTTTTTTATTTCACCACCCAGAGGTACTTTAAAGGGGAGATAGGTGGCAATAAAATTTAATAATTTAATAAGTATTTTCCTATTTTTTTCTTTTTATGTTTTCTCTTTTTCCCTTTTCTTCTTTTCCTCCCTGTACTTTCTTCTTTCCCTTTTTCATCAGTGCATTGAAGACGTTACCTAGTTTGGTAAATTTGTCCCTCAGGATTGAACTGTGGGGAAAGAAGTTGCAGGTTTCCCCCCTCCATTTATCCCACTTCCCTATTCTTCCTCACGGCCTGTGCACTGTTCAGTTTCCCTCCCCAGCCTCCCCCAGTTGGTGCCATCCTGTGTGTGTGTGTGCCATCCCTGAGAAAATCCTCAGCCTTGGCTTTTTCCTGCTCTGACACTGCCCCCCCTTCTCCCTCCAGCCGATTCTAACTCGGGTTTACTCCGGAACAAAATGGCCTCCCGCTCTCCTGCCTCCAGACCAAAACATTCAAGGCAGAAGCTTCAACTCGGGCAGGGACCACCCAGAGCAGCTGTTCTGTGCAGACGATGCCTCAGACACAAAACGTTTTGCATATCCCGAGTCCTGGGTATCGTTAATAACTATCGTGGGACATATTTTTCCAGTCTCGCTGTCAACAAAAGCTGGTTTTCTAATATTATCGGTCTCTGGTTACTGCCTAAAAATGCTACTTTTAAAAGGCAAATAGCGGCATAAAAGCGATAATTGGATTTAGGCCCTGGTTGCAGTCTGATGCTGCAAAGGATCAGGTTGGGTTTTTGTTTTCTTTTTTACATAATTTGCATAATAATAATTCCATAATAATTTGCATAAAGCAAATTATTGGGATCCATCAAAACGCGCCCACCCCCTGAAAAGAATCCTCTTGGAAGAAGCCCCTGCAAAATCTCCTCGCTTCAGAAGAGTGGATTTCAGCTGATCCTGCCTGCATTCTTCTCTGGGCTGCTTCCCACCAGGAGGCCCAGATGTTTCACATATGTCCATTTCCGCCCCTCATCTCACAACCACATAATGGCTCTTCCAGCCTTGCTTCTTCTCAAAGACGAGACCCCAGACTGCGCTGCTTAAGGAGGGTTTGCATTTAATTCCCCCAGGAAGGCAGCCCGCATCTGGTCTGGCAGCTGCGGGCCGTTTTGGAGCACAAAAATTCTACTCCAATGAGTA